CCATCCCAGTCTTCCTTGCCTTTTACGGCAGTTTTTACCTCCCTTCATTACTAGCCGCTGTGTGGCGGCTGGAGGGGCTCAAGGTAGAACGTAACGGATGAACTCCGTTCGCGATCGGTGAACACGCACCAACAGGTGTGTGTTCTGTTATGGATAGGTGCCGCCTACGTAGTTGTTCTGAAGTTCTTATGTGGCCAGGGCGACACTGGTCTGAGCTCTGTTCGTGTCCACTCTAACTTTCTACCAGGCGAGGTGGGTACGTAAAGAGAGTGTAACATATGCAAACCAACTACTGACTAATAAATATAAGTAGTATATGTGAAGCTTTCCTCCAGATGTGTAGGATGCAGATAACAAGAATAAAAAGAAACTCACAGGTAAATTTCTTAGAAGTCGTTTGCGTTCGTTTCCCTTGTTAATTCTTTCACAAAAGTAATTACGCAATGCGGCATTTGGGGATCTTTTGGCAGCATTCCTAAAATGACGCCGTTTTGGCCTTTTCTGGTGCACAACAATCATCTCGGTTGCCGTGTCAGAAGTATTGAATCAGTCTACCCAACAACAGAAGTCAACCGTGCTGTTGACGCGTTCCCACGCATTCTGCGCCAGACATTACACAAGGTCATGGGCTAAGGATCGTAAGATGATTTTCTGCAACGCCTTATGCGAACACCATTGTAGGGTCACTCACCGCCAACCTGAGGTGAGAGGAGTGTTTTCCTAAGGCTTACTCCAGTGTATCTTGAGGTTCACGTGGTTTCTGGTAGATATTAAAGAATATGACTTGTCCTAGGAAGGCCTTCGTGAATGGCGTTGCTGTATAATATTAAGCATGTAGGGTAACATGAGTTTAAGTTTTTTCACGGAAAGATTAGCGAATGCCATTGAACTCAGAATTTTGACTCAGATTTTGGCTTTCTGGTGAATTTCTTTCCATCCAACGGTGGTAATCACGTCAGTTAATCAATAACTAAACAAACATGGATTTTTCCGAAGCATTTAAGGTTTCCGACATATTGCAGAAAACGCTTGACGAAATTAGGAATTTATCTGTAAAGGAAGGGTCTTCTTTTGTTTATAACGGTTTGCGACCATGGGATTCTTGGGATTATAGGCATTCTTGTGTATATAAAATATAATTTGAAAAGCTTGTGACCTATTTAGTGCGATTGTACAGGGGAATCTTACACTGCTTTGGAATTCTGCAAAAATGGTTACTTTTACAGTGTAAGCACAGACTAGAAACTTGCTGTAATAGTGAGACGCTAATTGGTCGGTTTTACGGTACTCGCGCCTCTTGGTGAGCACCCTGAAGTAAATCCCTTTTCCGCGATCAGACCCTACCTTCACTGAAATACGGATGCTCGCTTTTGAGTACTTGCGATAAGGAAAGGTTATCGAAAAATAAATCAATTTCCACGTCCCATCCTCATATTTCGAGCACCCTAGGCAAGGTTGAAAGAAAGGTTTCGACAAAACTGACGATACTGAGAGCGTTGGGTATGCCATTTTATAGGATAAATATGCATGAGTAAAACCCATCTTAGTATGCACAAATAGCCTTCTTATTCAGCTTTCTGCCTTGACAAAGTTAGTGCTCCTGAAATAAACTGCGCTTAGGGTCACGCTATGAAGTTGTACTTAGCCGGCCTAGTTTTAACATCGATCGTCTTGCTGAACTGTTAAATTATAAAGGCTCTTCAAAAAGCGATCCCTAGTTTTATGGCTGTTTGCTGCCCACATACACTGGCATATTGTTGTGGTATTGCCCCTCACACCGTTATTTGAAGCAGAGCAAAACAACAATGTTACAACGCCCCCTTGATCTATTATGCGTCCATAGTTCCTATATATCACGTCTTTCTGTGTAGGTTATAGTAAACCAACAGCAACAGTTTATTGCCTAAATTCCTGAGAATCATGCCATCATGTCCTACTAGGCGTTGTCCTAAATTTACTATGATTAAATTCAGACCTTAGCGTTCTATAAATACTGCATTAACTGTGCATTTATCACCCTATTCGGTGGTCATTTCTGATGAAGGTTTCATGTCAGAATCCGAAACTTCCGGTGAACGAACTTCTGGTTCCAGCAATCGCATCTTCTACTTCCGTGTTCGTAGTATTGTTGGTTATGAACAATACTGTTTAATTTGTTGACTCATTTTACTTATCCATTTTCTGTGCAGGTTACAGCAAACCAACAGCGATATGGTATTGCCTAAAGTTGAGGCGAATGTTCGCATCCCAGGAACATAAATATTTTGATACGAGGAATTTTCGAACACTGGAATAATCATTTTATTAGCCTGAGCTTTCGGGCTCCTGCAGGAGCCCATCGTCAAAATAGGGAAAAGGAGCAACAAATGGGGTGGCTAGTTCTGGT